AAGCAGCATTTTAAAACTATTAAGAAAAATATTTTATGCTTATGAGCACAATAGTAAACAATGAATAATTAAAAATATAATAAGCTAAATTATATAATTTAACCTTTTCATGCTGAAAAATATTGAATCTAATAATATCTAATCATATCTAGAAATTATGTTTATAGTTTTAATACGCGCTAGTGTTAGTAAAATTGAGCAAATTGTTTATTATTGTACGTTGTTGTGTGTTGACTGGTCACTTGAGTTTCTTATTAAATAGTTAATTATTAAATAGTATAGTAAATACTCCCTCTGTGTTAAAAAAGCGATTTTAATACGGCATATATTAAAATATTTTTGACTAAGAGATTAGTTTCGGTTAAGATTTTATATACGCACGCACATCTGTACGCTCATATAATATACTAAAAATCATTTTTCTTAAAACAATGTATTGTTTGGTCAGGACCTCATATTTGCAGAATTGGGAAACTAGGGTATTTTATCGATTAAAAATTATGAAATTTTCCACCGTGATATTCTTTGCATAAACATGACTTTCTCACATAACCGTAGCGATTAAATGGTACAGATATTTTATAATCATGCAATGAAGAATAATGTCGGTACTTGGAAAAAGCAAAATGCAAGACGCCAAGATATAAAGATTTCAGAAGATTTCCCTAAATAAAGTAAGGGAGTAGAAATTTGGGGCAGTCAAAATATACAGGGTTCTAATATAACAAAAGAAATACATTTTACCTGATCAGTACTTGGACTTCTTGCCTTATCCTCATTTTCCCGTTTGGATTCATCTTGCCGTTTGGGACTGCGCAGGACACGTTGATAAGGATCAGCGCCACCTCCAAGATCACTAGTGTTCAATACAATCAAAGAAATCTTCTGCACGATATCCACGATCACTAAACCCGATTCATTTCCATAGGCTAATCTAAATATTAAAATATCCAATTCTATTATATTTCTTATTACATATATACTAATTGCTAAATAATAACTTTTCTCCATTCATAGAATATATGCAGGATAGATTATATTATGTACACACACTTACAAGCCATACGAAGAATTTAAACTAAGCGATGTTATACTCTCAGGTTGCTCCCCACTAGGTGCCGTTGTCAAACAAATCAACGTTGCTTGAAAACCAGCAGCTCTCTTCTGCAAGCCCGTCTTGATTTTGAGCGGATGATTATAATCTGTATTTTTCGACTCCACATTTCCCACGATGTTTCCAGACGCTGGTGATTCATCCGGTGAATCTTCCTTTCCTGTTTCCGCTGTTAGACATATCTCCAAAGTCTACGATATTGAAAAAAATAAATAAAATAAAATTAACGAAAGATTTACATGATATTTACACACTATCAAAGTTTTTTTTTCTGGATAACAATATATGAAATATAGCATAATATATATTATGTAAGTAGATAACTTACCACTACTTCGGACATACTTTCCACCTTCTTAAACTTAAACAATACGACGTGTTTTCCGCTTCCCGCAATAGCTAATTTTCGACTCTCAGGACAAAGAAAGATAAGTTGAATCGCTAATGGATCTTCTTCGGAATCTATACTACGTGTTCTACTCTTTTCAAAGAGTTTCGCTGTTTTTAACTTATACAGGACTTGTAACGTCCCTGCTGAAGCGTCCCAAAACTTTATACTGCCATCGGCATGCCTGTGATTAACATGTATAGATACAGAAATTTAAATAACATACTGATCAATATTTAACTTGAAATAATCAAAAACATATGCATGTATTTTTAAATTAAATTATAGATAATTATCGCACTAGAAAGAATAACTTTATTATTTGCTTATATATATATATATATATATATATATATATATATATATATATATCTATCTATCTATAATAATATTACCCAGTAAGAATAATCTCGTTATAGCTGCTAGAACTAGAACTCCATTCTCCGCCAGAAATAGGCCACTCTTTCTCGCTAAAACCGGTTTTCTTTTGAGACTTGGATCCAACTGAATAAAATGCAGGTACTAAATCCGAAGGACAATCCGCGAAATATGCGCAACATGTCACAGGAGATTCATGAATATCCATAGGATATGGATTCTCAAAACAAGGGAATCCAGAAGTTAACAAATCTATCACAACCAGGTCATTTTGTAGTAGAACAACAACAGCATAAGGATCTTGAAAATCTGAAAAATAATAGTAACACAAGAAATAATAGATTTAAAAAAGATAATATGCGATAATCATTATGCATAATAATCGTTAAGGAGCGTGTTTTACTGTACCACTAGCCCATGGACTATCACACAGCGTTATAAAGTCTATAACATTATGTTCCATTTCGAGTACCGTAGTGGTTTTTCCATGTATCACTGTAATGCTCGGTATTCTCCCAGTAGTGTCACATGCCAATCCACCAGAAAATATTACATATGCTTCCCTAATAAAAATTTACGTTTAACTTGGATATTGTTTCAAAATTATAATAACACTGCTTATATTTAAGAAAGTTACTTTTATGACCATTGCATATAAGCAATATAAGCAATATATGTACGTTATATATATATATATATATATATATATATATATATATATATATATATATATATATATATATATATATATATATATATATATCCATATATATCCATATATACAACACGTAACATACACACAATCATTTATCATTATTATACAGTATTTTATAATTTATATATATATATATATGTATAAATAAATAAGTATGTATATTTTACCCTGCTTTCGATAATTTCCATTCTACTTTTTGAATGGGTTTGCAAGATTCAGGTTCTCCATCTTTAGTGGATTTTGCTATAAAATAACAATTAAAAAATGTGCGATTCATGTAGATTATAATGTAATAAATAATACAGAATTAAATTGTTATTTGAATCTCACCATGTGGATATGTTACATTCGTTGGTCTTAGCTGTCGAACAGACCAAGTCGAAAGGGAACCGTCCGTGTGACTACACATAAATTGTTTACCTTCGTGATGCCATGTTATCGATTTCAACGGTTCGTCAGTTTGACACCTGTAGTCAGCATTCTTTATCTTTAAGTCCCAAAGAACAATTTGGCCAGTCTCATATCCTATGAGCATCTGTAAACAAAACATATTCGCACTTATGAAATGCATATACTTTTGTTAGGAGTTCATATACGTTGCTTAGAACAAGAAACATGTGGGCATCACAATAATGCATTTAGCGTATACACAAAGAGATTAAATATAAAAAATGGCAATATTAACGCTTTTTACAATATTTATGAGGAGAATACAAATTAAATCCAGGAGATAATATAATCCTGTGATATATATGGATTATCGGCTATTAAGGAGGAATGAATCACATAAATAAAAACTTTCGCAATTAGGGACAGAATATAAGGAAAGAGGAAGATTATGTTGCACATATACTCCGTAGTTTTCACAATTTTCACAATGTGAACTGTAAAAAATCATGATACAACTAAATTATTATTCATTGAAGTTAAAATTTTATGATTAGTAATTCCTAAATATAATTCGTACGATATATACGCGAATATCTTATAAATTAAATTTGCAACATCAACATCAAAAATAAAAAAAGATTGCAAACGCAGTTACAGTCCGTGCGCTCAAACGCTCGTCATACACTCATGATTTTACAATTATTAAGTAAATCTAAGATACATTTACATAAAGGCTGCAATAGATATTTTATTATACAAACATTGAACTAAAAAATATAAAATGTGTAAAAAGATGAGTGATTATATATGTTTGCGGCATGATTTTTCTTCTTGTATTATAATTAACTCATAGGACCAGTTTAAATCCGTTTCTACTGGTCATGATAGATTATAATCAGTTAATAATCAGTTAGTTAATAAAGAATATAAAAATTTTCCCTTTCCTTTTCTCTTTCTCCTTTTTTTTTTGTAAAATAGATGTTATCGAGATTCATTTTTATATGTAATAGTGATTGCATGCATGCATGCACACGTACGACATGCAAGCACACACCTGCATTTATATTTGTTTGAATATAAACAAATAATACAAGTTTATAAAAAACATCGAATATAAACGTCAATGTCACGTATAATACGTTTCTCTTATATGTCACGACAAAATCGTATGTCTATTGTGAGATTATGACAAGGATGGAATAATAATGAAAAAAACATACTAAAAACACGCGTACCTTGCTCAAATCTAAAGGATTATCACTCAAGTGTACTACAGCACCAGGATGGGTCTTTCTAGATCTGAAAAATACATATATATATACATGTATATGTATATACACACACACACATACATGTCTGTGAAAATTATTATTCGTGTGTTATTGCAAAACATGTATAGAATACTTATGCAAACTTTGCCTACTACGTTTTATTATATATAATTTTATTTCACATGTCCTATACTTTAGCTTAGTTTTAACACATTATATTTATTCAACGATACTGACAATCTAAATATAGAAAAAGTAATAGACTCTGTCGACACTAAGATCGTAATAATGACATTTTAGGATAACAGAAATTAAAGGAATTAGTGGAAACGGGATCTGAAAATGTACTTCACTCATCTTTTCGTATATATTTCTAACAAAAACTTGAAATAAATCTATTACATAAATATCTTGTAAGAATTACAAAACCAGCTGATATAGATACTTTTTTCAATCTTTCAATCTTTTCAAATATTCCCAAGACACAGCGTAATTCCTTATTCATAGTTTTTTTTTTTTTTTAGTATAGATATCTCAATAAAAAGTATGTTATTTATTTAAATTCGTTAAAGAATAATAATATTTGTATACAAATACTTGTATATAAATGATTTGATATATGCATTAAGTTTTTGTAATATATATAAAATCAATTTTAATATTTTATATTTTTAAAATAAATTTTTTTAGTATATTATAGAATTTGCTTGCAGTATAAATTTTTCTTTAAATTCTGCTTTAAGCAGAAAATTTCGTTAAAACAATATCTAATTTATCAAGCGTTAAAATTTTTTGGTAGTTTTATTATATTTATACTCTTTTTTTGTGGTGCATCACCTTTCCGTGATAAATGGGCTTGCGTTCCCCATGGACGGAGAACGATAACGGCGAGGGAATCCACGGTGGAGACTTATACTCCTGGAAAGTAAAATCAAACTAGACGGGTTCATCTAGGGAACGCATCTAGGAGAAGAAACCCCAAAGATAATAATACCAATAAACCACGCAATTAGCGTAGGGAAAGTGGTGCATCGCTCAGACACGCGTAAGTATCCTTGCAGTAACTAATCCAGGTCAAGGTGTTAGATATCGTGTCAAAGACACTTGGAATAAAGTGTCGCAAATGGTTTTCCCGAAGCACTAGGTCCAACCACATTATATGGACTTACTCCAGCATCTGGGACTCTGTCGGAGCGGATATTTATTCCCCAGCTACTCGTGGGACTTATAATGAAGACACTAAATAGTACAAAACACAAAAACACACAAGAACTGGAAACGGACCTGGCGTAGTTGAAACGGCGACATAAAAATTGTTAGGAAGATGTTGAACGGTACTATCAGAAAAAAGCTAAAAAGGTAAGGAGAGTTGGAGAAGATAACCACATCCGTGTCACCGGCTGCTGGGGCCAAAAGGCATAGATCAGCAGAGAAACTTTATCTTTCCGTACAAAGGAATGCAAAGAATGCCAGGAAATCAGATAGCACTGGGTCCTTCGCATTCGCGTTTCCTATATCCCAAAAATAGTCATCGTCCATGATAACTCAGGGAAGAAGAATATCAGAACGAAAGCAGATTAGAGTTAGTGGACTTAATGAAAACAACAAATTCATTTCCAAATTTCAGCAAATCTATATGCACAGAGGCATATTCAGTCGTTTACGTGAAAATAACCAATGAATTTGGTTATCAAGAATCTGGAGCTAAGATCAGACAAGCGACCAGGAAAACGAAAATATTCGTTAAAGGCGAAAACAAGGATCTGATGAAGTATCTAATGAAATTGAATAGACATTTTCTGAGGGGATAGTGGTGGGTATATTAAGAGAATACTGCAGACTCAAAAGACGTTTGCATTTAATAAGTATCGAATAGGATATTAGATTGTGCAGTGAAAAGGAAAAAATGCGATAGCACGTTCTGTGCCAGGGTCTATCTAAGAATGGCAGAATTGGAGTTTTTATTCCTAAGAAAGAAAGACTGCGAGCGCGTATCTATTGAGAAGGTTACGTACTTCAAGAGAAAAGTGAACCTTACTCTTTAGATTACGACTTAATTGCAGGGACACAATGAGCTTTTTAGTGCCGTTTTTCGGGGATCTGATGGGCCTCATCTGATGAGACCCGCTGCCCCTTGCCCCCTCGAGTATTTTAATAATAATACTTTTATATGACTAACATCATATTATGTAATATTCCATATTTTAATGAAAATTTTTTTATCGTCAAAACCATTCAGTCTTAGTAGTCACTCACCTCAAATTACTTACCGTAATACTTAGAAATATCTTAAATACATTTATATATACTTACCATTAGTAAAATAAGAAATATTAAAAACTAGCTTATAGAATTAATTTTTCACATGCGTTTATCAACAATGTAATGTATTGTTATTAAAATTAAACATAATTTATTTTAATCGCATCAGCTTTTTTACAGATACACGATCACGATAAGTGTATCTGCTACTTCACACACACACATTCACATATGCACACACACACACACACACACACAAACACACACACACGTATATTAATTATTTAAATGTACAATCAATAAAAATTCATAGACTTACACTTCAATGGCCTTGTTCCAATTAATTACATAGCCGGATAGGACAAACGTTTCAATGTGCAGTATATGGATATTTCCTCGTTCTGTTCCGACGTACAACCATTTACTTTGAAGTGGTAGATGAATGCAAGTGATTCTGTCAAAACAAAGTGTATGATTCAATCAATGATATCGTTATCAAAATATTCATTATTCGGTTTACGTATATATACATATGAAAATAACAAAAACAAATTCAAAATTTAATATTTACAAAGGAAATTAATGCATACTAATAACTGACCTGTCTCTTTGAAATTTGAGGCTCTGTACCACCTGCGGTATCTTCTGACGAAAGTTCCATAAGTGCAAAGTGTCGTCTGCCGTTGCAGATACCAAGGCTCCTTCATTAATCAAAAACTGTAGTTGTATCACAGCACTACAACCTTCGTGCTTAACGTGCGCATCTACACCTGGTCTACCCAAACTGTTTTTCCAAGTTTATTTAGAAAAATACAGACCATATCAACTATAAATATTGCTATAGTAATTGTTCTCTAACAATAATATATCAGTAATGTAGCACACACTTTAGTAGAGATTTATAATAAAATATAAACATTCTTTATATTTCGTTATAATAACTTATTAATGTACGAAATATCGTAAAAATATAAAATAATCGAATGAAAAATATGAAGAAATGAGAAAGATTTTCGCAACGTAGAAAAAATTTTATTGATAATCGGAACCTTTATCAGTTTATTAACTATTATTAACTATTATATCAATTATATTATGTAAAAAAAGTAAACTTCCTAAAATATAAAACATGCAAATTTCATTTACATCAAAATTGGTAGTGCGGTTGTTAGAATTTTTCCATTTATAGTGATCACGTTTATTGTGGTAGTTAGCACGCCCATCGAACTGCGATGAGCATCTATCGCTACACTTTAGCCATGATAGATCGATGAAACCACTGATGTGAAAAATACACGGTCGAAGAACCACAAGCCGACAGGACCGTGTAATTAATTCGCTAAAATTGTACGAACTCGTCAATCACCGAATTTTTTCAAGTGACGTAAAAGCACGCTAACGGTTATACTAAATTATAGTTCTCGTTTCTGACAACACAGAATTTTCTACAATCGTATCTATTTTACAGTAGATCCTATATTGCTTCTAAATTAATATAACCGTTTACGAGAGAGAAGAAAAAGAAAAGTAGAAAAAGAAGATGAAGAAGAAAAAGAAGAAGAGAGTTATGTGTGTATGTATATGTGTGTATGTTAATTATGGTATACTGCCATATCAACGATAATATCAAAGGATACATCCTGAGGGATCCCGACTTAGTGCCTATGGCTAGAAGCCTTTGCACTGGGTCGAATGCCAACGCTGTCGGTTGATGCGGAAAACCATGTCTGAATGTCTGCAACATAAAAGGCGTCTGTTTCATGCCATCTTTTCCGCTTTGGTCGCCTGAAAGACTATTCATTCCTGCAAGGGGTTGCGGAGATATATTAAACGGCGGACAGTATTGTTTCACGAGCTTCTATTGTGCACTCTGTGGGCAACCTGGCTGCTGTTAATTCTACATCTTTGTTGTCCGGTACGTAAATGTTATGTATTGTCTGTCCTAGATATTTAAAGTCATCTTTATTTGCAGCATTATCTTGATGTTCAATGCAGATCTTATCTTCATTAGAATAAATTGATAATAAAAACTGAAATAAAAAACAAACTATACATGTTCATATTGTATACTCAAAATTAAAAACGCACTACCTGAACCAAGGCTCTGATAAAAAAATTCCGATGCACTCGTGATACAAAAAAAAGACACATGTAAAGAAAATATAAAAAAATATTAAGCTCAATAAGAACGCGCGACAGGCGTTATATAAATGAACGGACAGGATTATATAAATGAACGAAGAAACTTGATTTAACATTACTAGCAACCAGCTGAGGAGGAGAGCGTATAACTGACGAATATATGCTTCGAGATCGATTTTGGTGCAACGGGACTAGACCACTGCTTTTCGCTGTTCGTGAAAACTGCCCTCGTTCCATTTCACCGGCCACCACTACCGCTAGGGAAGTAGGTTAAAATACGATGATACGAAAATTACAAGAGCGTCTAGCAGTATCTACCCTATTCTAATGGCCGATTTCCGGATCTCCGGAAGCTCTTTTAAAAGTCATTTTTGCTGGACCAATCTGACATCGATTATTCATCAGTATCACATTGTTCAGGTAAGAAGAGTATCGCATTGTGATAGTAATAAAAAAATATATGTCAAGTATACGCGAGATAAGTAAAATATTATTTTAAGAATATTGATACGAAAATATTGGCCTAGTATTTTACATCAATAACTAATATTTTACACGTTCAACACAATATACTAATGATCAAACGGTTTAAAAATTCAAATTCACGCTCCATTTAAACTGTATTAAATATATTATATTACATTAAATACAGATAAATATATTAAATTTAACTGGAAAATTTGTAAATTTTTACGGCAGAGTATATATTTTTATAATTGTAAAAAGCTAATTCGTTTTACAGTGTCAATGGCTGTAATAATCGCACTTGTGTTCAAACTATCATTGGATAGAAAGTACGTTTCGTATTCAATTATTATAGCATTAAAGTATAACAAAATATATAAATATATCGAGTTTTAAAATCAATGTATCAAGTTTTAAAAATTTGTGTGTGCATGTGTGCATTTTTCAGATTTTCTTGTTGTTATTACTTTTAAAACAGCAAATATTTATCAGGCTTTTTGAATATTTAACTACAAATTACTACGAAGAGCCTAAGAGAATTAACTTGCTGATATTGATGTGTATCTTTAAATATTTGGGAGAGTATTTTTGTATAAGTTCTTCTTAACCTTTTGTCATTATTAATTATTTTATTTTTATTATTATCTTATGTTGACATATTAAGCTATTAGTTACTCATCGAATAACAATTCGTTTCAGTTCGCACACATCTCAATAATTGACGCTGTTTTCGAGATGCATTGAAAATAGAATAGAACAAAGACAAAATTGATGTTTGGTTCAGGAGTTACGACAATGCGTATATAGAAGATATAGTAAAATGATAGATATAACGAATGTATATAAGTAGCGCACAGCATCGGCTCAACATCAAGATTAGTATTAATTTTTCGCTTATAAAAACTTTGGCGCGCGTGCATTAGCTTCTACTCCACTTTTTTATAAGTACTTTTCTATAGATTTAAGATAATACAAGATATAAAGAGTATATAAAGAGTGTATAAAAAATGTATAGTATATTTTTATACGAATTTTATATTAATACGGGATCTATTGCAAACAAATTATTTGAATTTGCTAGATTAGTGTTTACAAAGTACAATCAAGTACTTATATCAGTTCTGTAATCAATTTGATCCAATAAGTAAAATTGAAGAAAATATTACGCATAATTCTAACTTGCAATACCAAAATGCAGAAATCAAATTTATTCATTTTTGCATTCTATCATATCACCTGCTTAACGCAGCTGCAACGTCGCTATAATCTTATTTTCATTTTGCTGAAAGATTTAGGGGTGCAGATTTTTAATAACCCATAATTTTTATTTTACTCGTCATAACCATGTTATGTATATGGAATCAATTTATTGTTTTCTTCTAACGCTGTCAGTATATGTAAATCGAATAGTTTCTATCCGAATACGCGGATATATTCAAGTATCAATTAAATCTTGATTTTTTTGTAAACAGCTGTAATGATTATGATTCAATCTGCTATAAAGATTTAATTCGCTTATATCAAATTGCAAAATTAGTTAACTGCAAGGCAGCGTATTGATTAGGGTTAGATTAGGTCACAATTAAGTTCTAAATATATCACACAATGCAATTCCTTATTGACAGTATTATCTATAGCTAAAAATGTTATAACTGCTAATATAAAGCCATAACAGTAGGTCATCATAACTTTCAGTGTATTGACAGATCTGTCGCATGCATCTTCTGTGAATTGCCTTTATCAAGAATATAACTGACTTTTATCTCCTATACGTTTTTACTACTTGTAGATTTTACTTTCAAAAATATTTATCATAATAATTTTTAATTATTTTAAATACATTTGTAGTAAACACCAATTTCATATGCTATAAATTATATTGCAAGAAAAAATAGAAATAAAACCAAATACGGAGACAATGTTTAAATTTTTATTTGCTTTTATCTTATATTTATGATATTTAAATTTAAATTAACATTGTGTGTAAGAAAATTTGTAAATCTAGATCAACGCTGAACTCCTCTCGAATGAACAAAATTAATCGCGTAAATATTACTCTCTTATTGTTCAATTTATTAAAACACGATCTCCGTGCTTGGAGTCAGTCGTTTGCGGAAAAAAAAATCATATAGCGCACATCAACAAGAGCAATTATTGTTGCAGAAAAGAGGCAACAATGCTTCGATAATTCCACGAAAAAATCGATACTTTTCGAGTTTGATTTAACACGCCTGTTTTATAGTAAGATAAATACATTAAATACACAAAACATTCCGAGAATTTAAATTTAGAACAAACGTTTAATAAAATAAGGTATATAGCGCATAACATATAATGCATCTGTTTAATCGGTATCGCATTTGTCAGAGATGCGTATGCGTTGCAATATTTACGTATCGTTATCTGTTTCTCAACCGCATAACGGATATTCGCACGAACGTGCACTGAAACACGATAGTCGATATCAACTTGGCCGATAGTTACGAACGACTCGCTAGAGTAAATAGACGAGACAGTTTTGACGTACAAAGACTTGACAAGTGAGATTTCAATATACAATGAGTATCGACAGCTATCATGAGGTTTCCGTACATCAGGCATTGTAAGTGCCTTAATATTTGCTGAATTCGAGGTCACTAAAAATTTTCAAACGTACACATCGTCTGTATATTCTACACCTTTATGCATGATGAGTGTTGATTAATTAAGGAAACAACACAATACGACGTTTTAAATATTAATTTGTTTTCATTTTTTGTATTCATGCTGTCGCTTTCGAAAGTGTTGCGCGGTGACGTTCAGTTGGAAAATTAAAACCAAAACGTTAGTATACTCTTAATCTATAATATTAAGGGCAATTTCCTGTACGATTATTTTTTTAAGTTTTTATCAAAATGCTAATTATTTACATAGAAAATCTAATTGTTTTAAAAAATGTTAACATATTTTTGTTAATAAAAAGATAAAATTTTTTTATAAGTATATTATAGAAGATTAGCAAAAACATTTGGGAATATTATACAATTTCAGCCAAATCGGCCAAGTAGTTTTTGAGATGACGGTCACAAACTTAAAAAAAAAAAAAACATGTAATTTCGAGAAAAATGCAATCACACCAGTAACACATAATATCTCTAACTGCAAAATTCAACTAATTATTAAAATATTATTTTACATAAAATATATTTCTGCAGAAATATTATCTTTTACTTGAAGAAAGAAATAATGAACCAATTATTTGACATTAATCGATTTTCCCTTTGTTTTTAAATATTTGAGTATTTGAATATTTCTTTTGAATTTGAGATATCTTATATCTAAGCACAGGTTTTTAAATTGTTTTATAATTAGATTATCAAATAAATTAATTACGTCAACTCAATCGATAAAGAATTTTAACAAAAATAAAAAAAAAACAATGCATTTGACGTCAAATTAGATAGCCAGAATCATAAAAAGCAGAAATTTTGCATTCCGTGCAATATTTCAAACTGATGTAAATTGCGCATCAGTTTTAAAAAGTTGTCATTATAATGAAAAACCATATAGATATATGGAATAAGTTTAACAAGCATTAACAAATCTACTTTAATTAGAGACGGACGATTTTGTATATTTTAGTGTATCAGTACTGACCCTCTTAACTTGAAAGTGTTCCGGTCTCAGGTTCTCAACGATTTCCTGGTCGGGCTTAACAGGCTGCGGGACTGATGATCGGAATCCGTCGAGTACACCCTTGATCGTGAACTTCTTCATCGCGTCTGCCAAATGAGGTCGACTACACGGGGGAATCACATGTGCAATCTCGCCGTTTATTCCTGTATCTGTCCGTCACCTCGCGTTTTCCTTATTTGTTCTTCTCAGAAACGGAATTGGGAAATTAAGTTGTCGTGTTTCTGATTCGAGCTCGAACTCACTCGCGAAAATCCGATGACATGATAGCTCCGTCGTTGCCAACTCTTCAAATGCAGCAAACACTACTTGCTACTAAGGCTGAGAGATCTTCTACATTTTGACAGTACGTTAGCAGACGTGTCAATGGAGCCTCAGTAACGTAATGTGTGCTCACGTCTTGCGTCGCGCACCGGTGTCACGTATGAACAGAAACAGTAACAGTGGAGAGCGTATACGACGTGTATGATAGGAGCGTTTGTCGGCTCTTACGCTAACGATTTAAATGCGAACACGACCGAGACGTGGCGAGAATTGTTTTCGTAGTTGACGGCAATGCAGTGTTGTTCAATCGCACCAGGATCAATAACTGGCAACAGGCTCATGTGGACTTTCGCACGGCCGCGAGCGCAAGCTGCGCAAGCCCAATGCGAACTGCGCTTGGTTACGCAATCACATGCCAATCGTATCCAAGATTGTTCACGATTGGTCGCTTGCCTACTGTTCGTAACTACGTACAGCAGATACTCGACCAATCGCGGACGCACAATTTCATATTTTTAGGCTTACATGAAGATATACCTTTAGGCTTGATCTACAATATGCGGAGTAAGCTTGGAGTAAAAAGTAATGACTCGTTTATGGCTATAACTGTTAACTTATACTGTAATCCGTAAGAAATTAACCAACCACAGTCGATTATTATAAGAATAATCGACTATAATTGGCCAATTCTTACGGTTTACTTCTTACTCCAAGCTTGTTCCACATATTGTAGGCTGAGCCTTATGTACGACTTATCATGTACATATGTGTAGCTGTTTTACGCAATTTCACGCTAGTATTGAATGAATATCTTTTTAGCGCATGCGCAACACGGCAAATACAATTACGTAGGTATGTGTAAAGAAAATGTATATCAAAATTTTTAATCCTTGTAAAGAAATACGCGTCTAGGGTCGGATTTATTTATAGTCGGATTTTACATCTTAAGTTCATCTCCAGATACTCAGTAACCAATGAAATGATCCATACATCATCTAAAGATAAACTTAGGACATTCTTAAATATAAGATCTTATTACAAATACCGGCCTAGGAAACAGAGATCATATATAGTACTTTTATGTATGACTAATAACTTTCATAATAAACAAGACAATTTATCTCGACATGTTTTTGTGATACATTAGCATACACCGCATACATTTAATGCTGATAAACACTTTACAACATATAAAAATATTTATATTACTATTAAAGATACAACATTTATTCATTTCCTGATCTAACACATCTACTCCCCTTAAAAATCCAAACTGTCAAACTATCACTCACGTATGTATGTCTAGCTTGTTCACTCCATTATTCACATTCATTGTGCAATGACTACAATCATATTCTTAGTAAAATACTCTCGATATTCTCAATATACACATACTTGAAGCATTTTATCATTTTTTTACTTAAAAAAATTATGATACATGTAAAATATCTTTCTTTAAGAAAACTTTGCTTATGTATACGTAATATTCTGAAGAGAGTCCGAAGAAAAACTGAAACGTATTTGGTTATTAAACTTATAATGTTAATATACTTCTTTCATTTCATTGAGGATAAACACTAATATTAATATGTTTAGTTATATTACACCAGAACATCCATAAATTAGTTTTTATAAGCCCCTTATTTCTCTTATTTCGATTTTATATCCTTTCATCTCTTTATTTATAGTGATAAGATTTAATTCTGTTAAAACCAGAGTGAAAAATCTCCTTGAATCATTCTTTTCCTTAAACCATGGAGTGTATTACTACTTTTATTATAAAACTTGTCTCATATTCTGTCCTTTAGATTTCCTAAATGATTACAATCTGTATTCTTATTGCAAATATAATATTTTGTACTAATAAATTTTTTTTCTCTATGTTCCTTTTTTCTTCATATTTTATCTATATTCCTATGTTTCCAAGTACTGAAAGATTATCTCTGATATTACCCGTTCCTTTTTTTTTATATTATATAATCTATATCAATTCCTCTTTTTTCCTCGTCTATTTTTCTATATATTCTCTTTCTTCTTCATATCTCCGACAGTTAAATAGCACATGATTAATATTTTCTACACTTCAGCTTCACAATCACAAAAAAATCTCTTATCCCCTAATTAAAATTAAGGTTAGATTAGGTTAAGTTTGCCAGTAAATCATAAATTTACTTTCACACACGTCTTGTGCATTTTGTTTATAAATAGGCTGTTCACGTCTGTTAACATTGTATGATATTTCAGATGCGTTTTGATTTTCCGTAGTCACAATTTACTGATAATTCTGAAACAATTGAAATATGTCGATTTCAACAGCAGTAGTGTCAGTGTTATCACACGAAAGCAAAGATCAAGAATCAATCCGAGCTAAAACGATATATAATTTGGCAGAAGCACACACATATGCACACACACGACGCAACTGTATTTACAGTGTCTTAACGAAATAAGCCAATATTTGACGTTTACATCGAAAATGATCTTCATGCTTCACTTCACTTCACTTCAATAATTGGCTAAGACCCCATTTACATTTAGTGTCTCTACGCCATTACTCCGGAGTTTGCTTCCATCGTATTTGAGTTGAAGCCATTGGCTAGATTTTATATGGAGTATCCAATCTGAGTCAGAAAATCTGATATAACTGTAAATAATTTAATATTATTTATATCGAAAGATAGAGCATGAAAATCATCAAAGTATGAATATCCAGCTTTGTGTATCCTGGTTAAGAGAATATCCGATTTTTCAGAGTAAAAACTACATTTGAATAGTATGTGTGCTAGATCCATTTTATCTGCTCCGCATTCACATTTTTCAGATAAGATGATTCCCTTGTCCACTAGATGAGTACTTGTGCGAACATGGTAAGATCTCAAGCGAGCCATCAAGGATATCACATCTCGCTTTACAAATTTTAGTTCCCAGAACCAAGGCCTAGTGGAAAGGCTGATAATCTGGGAATCTTCATGCTTCATGCTTCACTACACCATTTTGACAAATGGTTTGTTCATGTTGCTCACACTTTTCACACTCGATCTCCTCGCTCATGTTTCTTTCAATGGCTGCGTTCAGCAGAGAAAGCTGCTTTGAAACTGTTGTAAAATTCGTGAATCTGATTGGTACATGCTTTTGAATTCAACCAAAATTAAGATTCATGAATTTTACAACAGTTGCAAAGCAACTTTCTCTGAACGCAGCCAATGCGTCGGAATATGAGTTTATCTTGTTCTAAATGCTAAAAGTGAAAACAATACGTACAGACGTAAAATCATCTTCGTAAAGCTAATGGAGGATTCACACCGCCCCGATATCCGTAGAATGTCTGATATCCAATAGAAGAATAGCTTTCTAATGCAGGATTCACCGCGTTCAAAGTCCGATGTACGACGTCCGATATCCAATAGGAGAACAGCTTTCTAATAGAGAATTTAATTCTCTATTGGAAAGCTATGCAGGATTTAAACTAGTGGTACACAAAAAAACTTAAGCAGTAAAACGTAAGCAGTAAGCAAATTGACCAATCACAATCATTAATTCTTCTTACGGTCCAAGAATCAACGATTGTGATTGGTCAATTTGCTTACTGCTTACGTCTTATGGCTTCTGCACACATGATGTGTTAATGCTTGCCGCGCGGACTCCCACCGCGCGGCAACCATTACCGCGTCCTGTGTGTAGGAGCCATAAGTTTTTCTGTGTGCCACGGCGTCCGATGTCCGACATACGACGTCGATATCCAATAGGAGAACAGCTTTCTAATATAGAATTCAACTCTCCATTGGAAAGCTATTCTTTTATTGGATATCGGACGTCGTACAGCGGACATCGGACGTGGTGTGAATCCTGCATAAGGGCTTGTGTCCACGATGCTAAAAATTAACTTGTTCACAACCTTACTTTAATTCTTAAGCCGTAAGAAATTGACCAACCACAGTTGATTATTTTTAAAATAATCAACTGTGGTTGGTCAATTTATTACGGTTTAAAGATTAAAGCAAGGTTGTGGAGTAAAGGCCATGGCACACAGAAAAACTTAAGCAGTAAGACGTAAGCAATAAGCAAATTGACCAATCACAGTCGTTGATTCTTGGATCGTAAGAAGAATCAATGACTATGATTAGTCAATTTGCTTACTGCTTACGTCTTACTGCTTAAGTTTTTCTATGTGCCATCAGCTTAAGGGGCGCCGCACACAATTGACATAACAGTAACGTAAGATGTACCATAAAAATGGACCAATTACAATCGAATATTCACACAAATGGCGACCTTACGGTTCGACAATACTCAAAGTGATTGGTCAATTCTTACGGTACGTCTTAAACCCATTCTACAATTGCGTAAGTGTAGTCGTGAACGTAAGAGTCAACCAATCCGAATGTTTTATTCACTGATTGCTTTACTCTGATAGGTTGTCGTAATCACTTACAACCACTTACAACCACGTTCACGCAATTGTAGAATGGGCTTTACGTTACTGTTATGTCAATTGTGTGCGACGCTCCTAAAGGCCATTCTACAATAGCTGCAAGAATATGACTGTAAGACTGTAAGACGCGAAATTAATTATTTTCATTCGCTGATAGCTCACGTTACAGCGTTACAGCCATATTCTATAGCGTGTTAGACTGGCCCTGGGTTAATTGCTCCGAGAGCGATTAATGACGTCATAAATCTTTACTAGCCAATCATAAAGCTTATAAGTACTTGTTTCATCAATAAACATAGGCTGAATAACTTAGAGTGGGTTAATCCAAAGCCAGTCGAACATGTTATTAAGGTGCGTTCCCACTTAGCGCGTCACGCGTCGTGTCGTCCTTCGCGGACCAATCAAATCGTCCTATTTTATTGCCTAACTTTACGACGAATAAAATGGAACGATTTGATTGGTCCGCGAAGGACGACGCGATGCGTGACGCGCTAAGTGAGAACTCAACCTTACAGTTATTGTAGAATGGTCTTAAGAGATATATTCTATAACTTTTAACGACATCGTTATGTATCATTGTGCAGATTTTTTGTATTATGAAATAAGAGGTATATTCTATAACTCTCTTTTAACGACATCGGTATGTATTATTGCGCAGATTTTTTTTATTATGAAATAACTGCGCAGTGATACATAACGACATCATTAAATGTTATAGAATAGGACCTTAAATTTCGGGGTTCTTGACGGTATGCGAAGAGATACACATGCGAAAATGTATAGTTCATGTTACGTATACTGTAGATTTTCACATGCATATCTCATTCGCACACCGTCAAGAATCGGGCCTCAGATGCAGCGTGTAATAGTGAAAGTGCCGTCTAAAAATCCTGCAACCAAAGAGAGAGAAAGAGAAGAACAATTGTCTTTGCGTCGCTTGCGTCGTTACTCCACTTTCTGATCTGATAAATGGTGAAAGGACTGACGCGATAAGCCTGAAACCAGTGAGGGAAAGAGAGAGAGTTACTTCACTTGCAGTTCTCAGCCAATAACCACCGTTGTTAAGAAGCAGTTGCGTCTCAACTATATGTTCTATATGAACTATATGAAGAACTCTCGTTTACGCGAACTGACTCGCTAGTCTTCTTTTATTAATATCTCGAAATTTTACGTGGTTGTTGGAAAAGTGGTAGGGAAATTTTTTGTTTAGTTTGACCTAATCTATCTACACGTGTGTGTCGTGTCTTATATCAGATATCAACGTATATATCATGTTAATCGGTTTTGAAAACAACATTATGAAAACCAAACTTTCAATATAAACATATAATACACAACATAATTTTTATAATTTGTTTGCAAAAGTATTAGTGGATAAGTCTTTTTAATCTTAATTAAATGTTAATGTTTTAGGATTCAAAAAGCAAAAAAGATATTTATTTGAAGAATATAACAAGTTATTCATCAAAGTTACAATACGGTTCCTAACATGGCAGGTAAAGTAGTTGCTAATCTGCGAGAAAAATTTGTAGTTGACCCTCAAATGGCATTGAGATGGTTTCCTGGGCATATGACAAAAGGTTTGAGACAAATGCAACAACGACTAAAAAATATCGATTGTGTTCTCGAAGTCCATGATGCACGAGTACCAATTTCTGGACATTATGCAGATTTCTCAAAGACCATAACAAGTTTAAAACCACATATATTTATACTAAATAAAAGAGATTTAGCTGATACAAGCTATACAGAAAATATAGTCTCTATATTAAAGAAAGAAGGACTTTCGAATATAATATTTACAAATTTGAAAGACCAACAGTGTAAAGATACAAAACAAATTATACCTTTAGCCAAGAAATTGATATTAAATTCAAATCGTTATAATAGATCAGGAGAACTTTCTTATTCCATGATGGTTATAGGAGTACCTAATGTAGGAAAGTCTTCTTTAATTAATCGTTTAAGAAGTAATATCCTTCGTATTTCGGGCAAAGCTACTAATGTTGGTGCACAAGCTGGTATTACACGTTCTGTTTTAACACATATAAAAGTGGCAGAAGATCCAACAGTGTACTTGATTGATACGCCAGGCATTTTAATTCCTACTATTAAAGATATCCACACTGGTTTCAAATTGGCCTTAGTTGGATGTTTGCAAGATCATGTGATAGGATCACATATACTTGCTGATTATTTACTTTTCTGGCTGAACAAGGAAGGCCGATATGAATATGTACAAGTACTTGGTTTGTCTGAGCCAAATGATAATGTGCAATATGTACTTACATTTATTGCTGCAAGGTTGAAAAAGATCATACAAATAAAGGGACCCCTTGGAAGATTAGAAACCAAACCAGATTTAAAATCTGCAGCAGATCATTTTATTAGCTTATTTAGAAAAGGAGAATTAGGGCTCTTTTGTTTAGATATAGATTTATTACGGTCACGACAATGTTAAATCAGTTTAATTAATAACTACAATATAACAAATATATGTAAATATATTTGTTGTTGTATAAAGTGACTGAGAATATATAGTTTTATATGAATATAATTAATTGATAACATTCTACAAATTTTATATATTTTATTGTAAAAAGAAAAGGAATAATTAAAGAAAATTTTGTTGTTTCATTTTGCCAATTAACTTAATATTTTTTATAACATTCTAAGCAGAGTATATATGTATTCCTAATATTAATTTATCTAATTATTTTAATTTTTATATCATAATTTGACTAAAAATATATCTTATTAGAAAACTAATATGTATGTGTCTATATATATATATATATATATATATATATATATATATATATATATATATATATATATATATATATATATATATATATATATATATATATATATATATATATATATATATATATATATATATATATATATATATATATATATATATATATGTGTGTGTGTGTGTGTATGTGTGTATATATGATACACAATCTATACAAATGTAAAAATATATAGAATTTAAAGTAACCATCAGTTCAAAGGCTAGATTTCTCTTTTGATATATGTTCATTACGTCAAATGTTCTCCCCACCATAGTTCTGTTCTCATCCCGTTACTTTCGCTTCAGTTACACTGGAGTAGGTCAACATCTACGTGTCAACTCGGTTCTAAAAGACGATATCACGTATTATACTTTCGAGATAACTACATGTATCTGATCGCATTAAAGTATTGTAACAAAAAAGAAACAGAAACTAGCAAGTAGAAAAAAAGAAGCAGAAGTGAAAACTAAATTAATTAATTTATAAGTTTATGAAGTCATAATTTTGCTCGTACATATATACGCGTGCTTAAGTGTAGCTTTGTGTTCTTATACAAAAACTGTACACCGTATTGTAAATGCTTTAAATTATCATACAACTTAACAGTATCTCTCAAAATTACTTTTTAGTGAACATGTTTGCGAGAGTATCATTTTATCCAACGTTGTTTTACAACATTATTATGGAAAAGGTCACAACACGTAATTGGTATGATAGAATAGACGAGACTGTCATATTAGGCGCCTTACCATTCTACTGGATGACGCAGCAGGTATGTCTAGTATAAAAAACGGAACTTTAGTATTTTTATACAATTTTAGGAATTTATTTTACATCAAATATAGTAATTCTATAAAGAGAAATATAAAGATATACAGTTGTACTATATATTAGCATTTGTAATGCAGCTGTACAAGAACATGAAACCATTTCAAGTTTTAATTTAAAATACAACTTTAGTCGTGATAATATTTATAACATCTCTTTGTAAATGAAACATCATAAAAAGATGATCACATTAGTACATAATAATGTATATTATTATATATTGTTACTAATTTCTATATTTAGATATCTACTCGAGAGATACTAAAGTTCATGGACATTAAACGGGTATGCGAGTATCCGGTATTAAAAAACGCGGATGATACTCTAGTAATACTTACCTGCTATCCGTTATTGATTTTCATAACAACTAAATGTATTCTTTTAAAGTATATATATATACAATAATAACTAATAAAGTATTAAAGTGTAATTTATAAAATAACCGTATATTATTGAGAAATACCAGAGTAATATTATCTTTCGAGAATATTGGTATTACTACTTTGCACGCAATAAATGTCACTAAATTATAATACAAATGAGGTTGAATTAAAATCGTTATATAATTTCTATATTATTATTCTTTTTTCCTATTTCAGTTAATCAACGATGAAAATGTCAAAGCTGTTGTATCTATGAACGAAGATTATGAATTATCTTTGTTATCTAATTCAGAGAAGGTACGCATTAAAAAAAAAAGATATAAATTTGCGGAACTTGTTAGAAAAAAAGTAGAATATGACAAAATGTGTTAGAAATAATTATACACAAGTAAATAATTTTCACATTTTTTCCATCAGGAATGGAATAGGCATAATGTAAAGTTTCTACAATTAGCTACAACGGATATTTTTCAAGCACCTTGTCAAGAAAAACTACAGAATGGTGTAAACTTTATTAATAAATTCTGTAACGTACCGGTACGGAAACTAAATAATCTAGATACTGTTGCCGGTTATAATGGATATGGTACAGTCTACGTTCATTGTAAAGCAGGAAGAACGAGAAGCGCGACGTTAGTTGGATGCTACTTGATGATGGTAAGATAATTTTGTATATCAAACATAAAAAAATGAATCATACAATAAATTCTATCTAAGTCAATTAATAAATTCTAAGTCTTCTTTCTATTTTTCTGCTTATATATGTAGAAAAATAATTGGACACCCAAACAAGCAGTAGATTACATGCGAGCCAAAAGACCACATATACTGCTGCATACAGCACAGTGGAATGCATTAGAACTGTTTTATGAGAAACATGTACAATTTAAACTATAAAGTTATAATTTCATATCAATTAAAATAATATATACTATTATTTAATATACATAAATAAAAGTAACACTGCCTATGTGCGAGTTAATTTTTTATATTATTTATACTATTACTATTCTGTTATTCTACTATTATATATAATATATATGTTTGTAGAAAGAAGGAATAGGGGAATAAAAAAAATAATTATAAATCTATTGTTACTATTTTAGCAGCAATCAAATTTATAAGTGCTCATTAATTTCTGTTATTAATGTATTTAACTTTTTTTTACATGTACTAATGCGAATTTAGTAGCTTCTGCAATTGCTCTCTTCATATGTATCTGAATATATTCATTTGACATCTTTTTAGATTTCATACTTGCAACTAACATAGGTTCAAATCCTTTAATAGATCCATATTCTGCATTAAAATTTTTAAGTATAATATCCATCCAAGTTTGTGCATTAAATGTATTAGAAACAAATTCCTGCAAATTATAAAGACTATATATTCAAAAAGATGATCATTAATTAAAAAAAAAAAAAAAAAAAAAAAA